TTGTTTGATTCAGAATGATCGAAAATCTATAGACATCGCATTATGAAAACTTAAAAAACTAGCCAAAAAAAAGATGTTTCAAGCGTTTTTGACCATCAGTGTGAGGCGTATAATTTTTGAACGGAACAAAACAAAAATTTCGGGTTTGTGTAAAATTGTAGATCTTGAGCTGGCAAATCTAATGCACTAATTACAATTCAAAATTCCATACAACTTTTATAGCACTTTAAATACTTCTTTGAATTTTATTGACTGCTCATCAGAATCATAAGGTGGCTTTTTTAACAATCTATAGAAAGATGCAGAATGCTCGCCTCTATCGAATGATGAAAATCACAGACCGATAGCTATTTCCGTTAAAACGTTATTCAAAAAACAATCACCCTTCTTCTATTTTGAAATGGATAATAGGCTTTTAGGAAAATCGTTCCGCTGTGCTTGTCTACTTCTAAAATGCCGAACATAAATGAATCTTTGAAATAGATCCTTGACGAAGCGTTTTACTGACGTATACGATAGTACTCAACAGAAAAAAACGCCAATTGTTTTCATTCACTGTGAAGACAACGATTACTTTTTCTAAAACTTAAACATGATCATTCTCATCAAAATGAATCTAAACATATTAACTTTTAAACACGAGATTCAAACACTAATTTATTGAATCAAGCAAGACGATCTAAACTATCTACTGATCTCGATTATCATTGAATCGTAAATATCCCTAAAGCTGACAAAACACCATAACGATATCCTTTGTTTAACGCAACAAATATTATTAGATCTATATGCGAATATAATTATGAATAATATTTTCCTGCGACTTTTTGTTACAAGTATTAGATTAAAAAGAAGAAAATCATATTTTTCTCTAGTGAGGTTGCAAAAATTGTTTTTTTTTATGAGTTCATCGGGTTTTTGTTTACTCTATTTTCGCATGTCCTCTTTGCAAAGAAAATTATCAGTGTAACCTTTGTGGGGCTAAAGTGCGGGATTCACAAGGCGTCACTGTTATAAATTTATGGTTTATTTGAAAGACGTTTGAAACATAGAGTTCTTATAATTCTTTATAATACATAGGTGAGCTCGACGGTTTTTTGTGTTCTTGAAACTTGTCACATTTATAACTGGTTTTCTATCAAATTATTTCATTCATGCAAGTTTGTAATATTTGCAAGAAACCCAATTATTATTTTAATGTACTTCTTCCTATATAAATTCTATTGTCTCATCGATTATATATATATGACTTAAACCAAACTAATACGCAGATATAATTTATTTGTTTATTTAAGTATTAAATGTTAAGTAATAAACGCTACTTCAGCACTTTATTAATTAAGTAGTCTGTCTTTAATCAGACATTGATGGACTCTCTGAGAAGAAACTGGAAAATCTATCTATAAAATTAAAACTTAATATTTTTCTATAAAAATATATGAGTTCAACAAAAAAAAACGTGTCTACTATAAAATTTGAGTCGACTAGTTGAAATCCTGCAATGTTCTGATTTGCATCGTAGATAACTTCTATACTCTAGATATTTGAATTTTATATTCATTGTCTAATTATAAAATAACGATTATTGCTATTAACACGAAAACATCGTTTTATGAAATAGAGAAAAATAAATCGATTACCTGAACTTTTATAAACCAAACCATGATCGACGAATTATATCATTTTCGATTGAATAATAACAGAATTAATTTGCAAGTCAACAGTTAATTTATGATATCGACTAGTATCATATTTTAATAAAATTTGTACACGTTTACTTGCGACTTGATCACCAACAATAATTGTTTTCATTTGACGATGTACATTTTTTAAATTTGATAAACGAAGAAATCTATTCAATTTCTAATCAGATCCTAAATAGAACACAAAATTCATAGATAATAACGATATTCATCACCTGTTTTTTTTTATTCAAACCGTTTTATAACAGTTTTTAATCGCGCACTTTTAATCCGATCATTTTGCATAGCTATCATCTGAGCGAATGACATTTTTTAGTTATATTTCATATTATGCAACTTGTTTAAGGGGGATGTGTGTGTACCCCCTAAGGTATATATATTTTTTTACCAGATTGTAGAGGAAGTAAAACTGTATATATCTTGAGATTTTTTCGGCAAACAGACCTACTTTGATGGAGTAACAGCTTTCACAAGGTATATGCCTCTATAGACCCTCTATTAGTATCGTATTTTGAAAAATTTTATTTTAGCAAAATTTCATAGTTGATGTTTTGGCATTTTGATTGAGTAAATCGAGTTGTATATACCCTGAAATTTTTTTAGATGATTGCAGGATCACTCATAGAGAAAATGCAAATGTTCCATAAAAGTGGATTTTCACTATAAAAAAGTCGTTTTTTGAAACCTTGCCTGCGATTTCAGAATTTTAGTCCATTACAAGAAGAAAGATGTTGTTACAGAAAAATGCGCCATCAAATTCTTCGTATACTGAGCGGATTAGAATTTTCATTTTGTTGAAAAAGTTTCGAAAAAAATCGAATTTTCGCACATACTCTAAACTACAAAAAAGTGGAAAAAAGTATAAGCTCGTATTAGATACATTTTTTTTTATTTAAGTTAAGTATATCATTGTTTGTCATATACCATTCGATAGAGATTTAAATTAGCTACAAAACTATGTGTAAACTTATGAGAAAGTATTTTGCCATAGTGTATTTGAGTAAAGGAATACTTTAGAAATGTATATACTAGTATGGGTTTTTATGAGACATTGCACCTACGGTACACTCACCGTTGTTAAATCGATCTCACCGATTTGGCTGATATTTTTACAGTAGATAGGCCTAGTAAGGTTAGAAAGAAACTGAAATTTTTAGTTCAAATGAATGAGCAATGCTGGAGATATAGAGCTCGAAAATGCTGCTACCCAGGTAAAATTGGAATTTTTTGTAGTCGGTATTTTTAAGTAAGTTCTCATTTTCCAACGAACAATGGATGGGATCCCCGAGATTTTTTCACCATAGATACTATCGACTAAGGGCTATCTTTTGATAGTAAAGAAAGTAACTCATCCATGGATATATTTTGCTTGGCATCATCCATGTATACCATTTTGTAGCTCGTAAAATTCTCTATCGAATGGTATATAATAGTTGGGGTTTTGTTTAAGTATGATAGGAAAAGGTTTTTACGAAAGCGGGGATGGGTCGATTTTCGCATAGGAAGCCATAGGAAAAAATGAGTATTTTTACAATAATTCAGGAATGGTTTGGCCAATTCTTCTCATCTTCGAACTCGACCGAGACATTGTTAAGACTGAACTGTGTAGAAAATGTCATCGCGATTGGACTCTCCTTTCAAAAGTTATCGTGTTAACGGACGGCCGGACACACTGACCGATTCTAGAGTGTACTCACTTTTTGAGTACACAAAAAAGATAAGTATTAATATAAAAATAATACTTACATATAATTTTGATGTTAATATTCAACTAAATAATGAAAAAAGATAAATATTAATATAAAAATAATACTTACATTTGATTGTATTGCTTCAAGAATTTTAAATAAAAGAAAGAATTATTTACAAAAATAATAATTGCATATGATGTTTGACTTCATAATGAGCTAAGTAAAGATTTTATAAATAATACTTACGTTCATTATGGTGCTTTGTGTACATAAAACTAAGTGTCGTTTTGTTCTAGAGGTTGACGTAAATGGAAAGTAAGAGTTACTGATGTGAGAATTCAATGCTATTTGAACGCGGAACAATTTGAAATTATTCTTTTTTTCAGTCATGTGAATTTCGGCTGTAAGATTATGTATCTAATCGCAACGTTATTCAATAAATGGTGTTAGAAACTATAAAATTCAACATCATTCTGATATAGATGTATAATGTGTTTGATTAAAATAATTTCAGATAGAATAATGATTGACCCAATGTACGTGGTCATATCCATCTATCCCACGAATTCAAAACAGAGAAAGTAATCTAAGAGAGAAGTTTGGCCATTGCATACAACAAGTAATAATTACTCCGGAAATAATCAACGGATAATCGACATCTCAAACTAGACTAAAAGTTTCAAACACAGAATAAAAACCCTTTCATGGAACGGTAAAATGATAAACCCTTCGACGTATAATAATAAACCCTTTGAATAGAAGGGTAGAATAGGAAACCCTTCATCGTAGATTAATAAATCCTTCTCCTTAAATTCTGGCACAATAAACCCTTATTATTTTAAAATACCCTTCGTTTAATAAACCTTCGGGTAATAAACCCTTTCAGGGTTTCTGACAAAAACATAAATCCTTTAAGGGTTTAGGAAATTTTTCCTCTAGTACTAGGGTTTAGTATTCTACGTTTTTTTTACAGTGTAGACAACTGTTTTAATTGATTTTCAAGAGTACATCCGTTTCAGAATATGAACACATGGATATTTACCAAGAAATATACATTTAAATAGAAAATGTTCATGAAATATTGAAGAGAAACATAGTAGTCTATATCGAACAATATTCTCGGGTTTTAAGTATTCGCAGAAATTGTGCAATATGCTGTTCTCAATTCAATTCTATTTAAAGAAAATTCCACAGAAAGTTTATAAATCTGATGAAAACACATTATGTTTCTCTATTTAATCGACAAGTTTTATTGAATAACTCAATATTGCCGTTTTTGAGAAATTAAGCTCTGTCAAAGTGACAAAAGTAATTTAAAAAATCTCAACTATTTTATATGAAAATCGATTCTACGATCATCCTCTTTATGAAATATTAAGCAATTTTTTTGTATTAGTCAGAAGTAATATGTGGAAGATATTGAAGATGAAAAGCGTTTTCTAAACGTAATGGTAGTGGTTACAGGCTACAAATTTCAATTTTCATGACTCAATAGTGTGTGGTTCTCAAGGTGGGTATAGATAAAAAAAAATAGCTTTATTCTAACTTACAAGCATGAGATTTTTTTGATGTGGTTCAATTTTTTCTTCGAAATATAGATCCAATTTTTCCAATAGACATCGTTTGATGAACTTGAGTCCAGTCGATTCGTTTTTTTTCTGATTTTGTCAGAAAGAAACCTAATGCATATGGAACTAAAATACGAAAGAAGTCGTTAGAAACATTTTACAAACTTCAATGATTGATTTTCTTCGATGAAGTACATAGTGGATCAAAAGCCAGTTTACTGAAAAATCCAAATATCATCTTGACAATCGATACGAACGCGCTGAATATTTTATTAACCATACAGACATGTTCAAAGATTATATTCATAAACATATACCTAGAAAAATCTTTTTTTTTGTATTATGACTGTGGATCACAACAAAGAAATTTGACTATAGCACAGATAGGAAAAATACAATATGCTTTATAGATGACATCTCTCGATATTCTTTCATGGATTTAAACCTCGAATGCTTCTGTATCATTAATATAAGAATCAATTCATTTGCTCGAGTTATAAAGAACATATTCAATGTTTTTCATTGAACTAATATGTTTATCACTCTCTAGACTGCATACTTCAACTTTGTGAAATGATAGAATTCGTTTGTTGTGATCTATAGTTGTACTGAGAAAAATATTTCTTAGGGGTTTTTGTAGAGTTATAAACTTCGCTCACGTTTCTATAATTGGTAAAAAAGCAGCTTCTTTGACCTAGTCGTTATGTACTTAGATATTTAATTTTTTCGTTAAAGTCATTTTTAGTCTAGCGTGCACTTTCTCGTTGATATTCAAACATATTACTTACTTGAATAAGCTAATGCTAATGTTGGATAACTTTTTGCTGAGATAGCAGTCGTTGCACCGAAAAATGGTTTAAGTACATTTTGAAGGTCTTTTATTGTACACCAGTCCTCATTAGTAAATTCAAATTTCTTGTTGCCAAGTTGTAGTTGTTGAACGGAACTAATGTTTGGTATCTTGAATGACCTGCTGTTAATGTCGTCTATAATCGCTTGATGTGTGATAAACCGATCCACCATGATAAAAGTTGTATTCCAACGAATTTCGATATCTGTTACAANTCCATATAGGATTACCTATTAAAAAAAAGCAGTTATAGATTCTGATAGAGCTTAAAAATCTCTATCACCCCATATATTTGCTTATTTTCTTACGTTCACCTATCGAAAAATAATTTAAGTACAATGAAAAAATTCTGAATCGACAAATACAGAAAATCGCTGTTTTTCTCTTTTCTTGATAATATAGTTACTTTAAAAACAAATTTTAAAAAAGGTGCTCATAGATTCAGATAGAGCTTGAAATTCTCGATCGCTCTGTATATTTACTTATTTTATTATGTTCATTTGTTTTAAGAAAAACTTGAGTACAGTGAACACACCATCAATTGACAAGTGTCTAAAATCGGTATTTTTCGTTGCTGTTGGTGTTCTCTTTTTGCATTTATTATTATTATGCAAAAATGTTTTTGAATAAGCAAAAATATTCTGATAGAGCTTGAAATTCTCTATCATTCTGCACTTTTGAGACAATAAATGAGAGGGTGAATAAAAAGAGCTACTTATTTTTAGAGGTTGTCAACGAGTATATCGATGTAATATTCAAATTATTTTTCAGTATACCAACGCAAGATAGTTAAGAAATGTGCAGGGTGATAGAGCATTTCAAGCTCTACCAGAATATAACTGCTTAATCAAAAAAAATGAGTTTCTGGTAGTAGTAATAAATTCAAAAAGAGAGCTGCAAAAACAATGAAAAACGCAAATATTCTGTATTTGTCGATTCAGAATTTTTTCATTGTACTTAAATTATTTTTCGATGGGTGAACGCAAAAAAATAAGCAAATATATAGGGTGTTAGAGATTTTTAAGCACTATCAGAATCTATAACTGCTTTTTTAATTTGGTAATCCTATATGGATGAAAAGTTCAAAGAACTAATTTTGATTGGAGAAAAAAAATAAAATTTTTGGGAATCGCGATATAGGGGTGTCTTCGTTGTATGCAATTTATTTCGGTAACGAATAGATCTAAACAAAAACATAATTATACAACATGATAGAGAACTCCACGGGCTTTCAGAATATGTAATTTGTATTTTTAAAATGTACTTCTTTAGTGCAAATATATTCGAAATACAAAGTCCAACTTTTGCTTTCCAGGGGTATATTTTAGTACTCAATAAGAGCCTCTATCTTTGTATAATCGAAAGAAAAATAATCTTTTCATTTGAAGATTTTACGTGCCATCTCAATTGATAGTTATTGAAATTTTTGTTACTATGTGTTTAGTTGCATAATTTTTGAGTAAATCTATCTCAATTGTCATAAATTGAGTTATTTCTTTTTCAAACATACAAAAATTGACTATATGACTATGATGAAATAGCATATAATGCTTATCACAGAGAACGATCAATGGAACATTCAACTGATTGGTTTCATTAAATGTACATGTACAATAAATAAAATGACAGCCGTCGAGTCATTTCTACATAATCATTTCCATCGAGATGCTTCATCAATTCAAAAATAACTCAGAAAATGGTTTAAATATTTTTTACCTTTACTAGATTTTCATTATGAATCCCATTATAACTGGCATGACACGTTTCTATTCAATTTTGCTAAGCCTAGCGAAATAAAACGCTATTGAATATAACGAAAACAAAAATCAATTCCATGTAGATGTTAACTACGAACACCATCATTAAACAAAGTTGGAAAAATCTTTGAAAAAAAAAGAAATATCATAAAGAAAAGGAAAAAAGTCATAAAAGGTTTTGCTTTCTTTTGAAATTATTTTTCTTGAGTGCCCACGTGTTCATATTTCTTAAGGTGCAGACATAAAGCATTTTGTTTATTTGAGTAAAAAATTGACTGACACATGTGTGCGTTAGGTTTCAATTGTTTTTAGACCATTAATCAATTATAACGAATTCTGATCGTTGTCTAGTTGCATATTGAAAATAATGTCATCGACAAGTGAACATGAAAAATACACAAGTATGTAGGACTGTGTTTTTATACTGAATACAAAGAATTTTTCTTGGGATCATTTAAACTTAATTTATGAATTTTTGTATTTTTTTTTTGTCAAGGAGAAATAATGGATGGCGACTTTGACCAAAAGCTAAATGTAATAATTTTTGAAAATAGATTTACAATATAACAAACTATTGGATTTTATTAGGAGGCGGAAATACTTGCCCATCAACGATCGCAAACATCAATGAGTACAATATCACAATCAAATAATTTTACAGTAACGAATAAAAAACATTTTTAATTGATATGATAATTTGTACTTCAACCTTATGTGCATAGAATATAAGTACGATACTAGTCGACGGCCAACAATCAATAACCAATCCGGTAACTACAATAAGCGATATGGTACATATTAAAACTGTATTGAATTCTTTTGAATTTCATTTTACTTTTCCTACAGGATGATTTTCTGCGCGATTTAGATTTATATTTGGAACCGGTAAGTTTAACTGAACAAAGCTATCTCACATTATTATCAGTTTATTGGATTTCTTATTTGTAGATACAACAATTTACACCGTAAGACAAAATATTGTAATTCAATATTCATTGATATACAAATAGAAAATATTACTTGAAAACTTTCTATTTCGGCAGTGAACCCATGATTTCTAGTTGTCAACTTCCAGTCCGCAGTAGTCTTTTTGGCGCTGAATTTTTTAATTCTCCAAAGTTCTGCGACAAGTTGAAAGCCGAAATAAAAGAAATTTATTCAGTTGAAACGACCATTATTAAGGAGAAAGATAAATTGAATCTGGAAAATGCTATGTATACTATCAACTTTCAAAGTAAAAATCACGACAAGAATCAGCAGGCATTAGAATCATTAAAAGCTCTCCTTAAAACAATAGACACAAAATTAGTCGATGATCAAGCAGGTAATCGGATTATTCTTAAAATGTTTTTATGAAAATTGTATTGAATCAGATTTTTCATGAAATCAATGAGAATAAGATTTTGTTTATGTAATATGTATTGATTTAAATTTTAAGCAAGAAAATTCAGTCAATTTTGATATCAATTCTAATTCAGAAGAATAGTTTGATTGAACAAAAACAAATATTTATAAAAATTTATTCTCATACAGGAGTTTGGATAAAATATCCAGAATGTGCTCGAATTATCCAAAGATATAGTGATGAAAATGAGCATCTTCATATTCTATGCAACTATGAAGCAATTGGTCTAATTATAATTTATTTCAATAAAGACAAAGCAACTGAACTTCATAATTTATGTATTACTAGTGCCACTCTCGACAAAATTATCACAAAATTTATATTAATTGATATTTCTTTACCATCTATCTCGGATTTAACAATAACGGATAAAAGTAATTTAGCACAAGATATTCTTAGATTAAAAGATCAAATACAATCTGAGAATATTTTATTAATACTTGAACAACGATGTATTCATTTGTTTGGTTTTATTGACATTGTCAGAGTAGTTGAAAAACAAATAGAAGAAATCAAGACAAAATATGCATCAAGTACGTTTAAACTTAGTTTAGAATCGAAACAGGTAAATAATAGACATGTTTTTTTTAAGAAAAGAAACGAGTATTTGTTTTATATAGATAAAATTTTTGTTGGATGTGTATTATGAAGAATTGAAAGCACTTGAAACTAATTTTCAAGATGCAGCAATTATTGAGCCTTTGAGAAATGGTGAATTTACAGCTCCAAGTTATGTCCATGATAGAATCGAAAAAGAGATAATGGCATTAACTTCATTATGTATGCCAATTAATTTTGAAATTCAAGAAGAAGCTTTTGGTGTAATAGCACATAATGAATGTACTAATCTGAAAAATATTGGTCGTCAATATAAATGTCAAATCGAAATAGAAAAGAAGCCTACAAGTAAGATTTGCGAAATACCCAAGGCTTTAGCACAAGATCATATTTCAAATAAATTAACAGCAGCAGCCATCAGAATACTAAAAGGTGATTTAGCTGAACAAAAAGTAAAGAAACTATAAATTGTTGAAGACCTATAATAATTATTCGTTTATACATTTGTTTAGGTCGATCTTGTTGTTGTTTCTTCAACATCACTATATCTATGTGATGGTATACTTAAAAAAGCTGGAGAATCCGTGAAAAAAGAATATAATGCAGCTGCAAATAGATCATCATTAGAACCTTTGGAAATTGATTCAGGACAATTACTATGTCGAAAACTTTTATTTTTAACATGGCAAATAAATCAAACTAGTCAAGAAGCATTTTATCAATCAATTCGAAATTTTGTTAGTAAAGCTGTTCAACATGCCATTAAAGCTCATCATACATCAATTGCATTTCCAGCAATTGGTTGTGGAAAATATAATTTCGACAAAAATATTGTTGCCAATGAAATGTTAATTGAAGCTCAAACACAATTATTATCAGCTAATGTTTTATTACAAATAAATTTTGTTATTTTACCTACTGAAAATGACGTTTTTAATATATTTCAAGCAAAACTTGAAAGTCTTCAAAAGGGCAATGTAGAAATAAATGATACTCAAATAGAATACAATCTTACAAGTAAATTTAACATAAAATTATTTAAAATATGTTGTCTGTTTAACTATTTATTTATTTTAGCAATTACCACAACAATCATATCTAACAGTACAGATAAACAAGAGGAATGCAAAAAGGCCTTAAATAGTCATGTAAATAAATCAATTTTAGTTCGTGAACATTGTCAACAACATGTACTTAAAAAATGGACACAACCCGCTATTAATGCATTTTATAAGTATTGTTTTCATCAACATGTTGTACTAGATATGAATATTCTTATTGGTTATTGTAAATTATCTGGTTCAAAAGAATCAGTTACAGAAGCAGAAAACGAATATTATCGAGAACAAACTAAACAAAGTGAACAAGCTCGTCTAATGGCTATTGCTCGAGATATAATTTGGGCATTTGAAAAAGATGATAAAAATTGGGAAAAATATGTACCTGAATTAAATGCTCTTATTGAAGATGCATTTATATCTAAATTACAAACTGTATGTATTACTGCGATATACTTAGGGCATACCGATAGTACTCTCGTCATTATCTTATTTCCATATAGAAAGCTTGAAGAAATTTTCTTTTTTTTTTATGCAGTGAGAGAGAAAATGACGATCTATTTTTCTGTAAAATATAACGATTGTACTAATGCTACTCGAAAAAAAGAAATTGGGTGAGTATTTTTTTTTTTGAATAACTTTTCATAGGAACAAGATAGAGAGCTGCGGTTTTCACCGTTCGAAAGAAGAGATGAAGATGCATCGAATTGTATATTGTGGATTTTCCAAATATGTTGTCTGAATTGTTTAATCAATTTTCTAAGTGTCAAAAAAATGTTTTTTTTTTATTAAAAAAGCAAACAGCAAAAAACTATTTTTTCACAGAAGTTACTAGAAAATTCACGCACAGTTTCAACCAGGACACCTTTGAATCCTGAAAGATTTATTTCAAACACATGAACCTTATGCAGTTTTATAGGTCTTTCATTGACGATTTGAATGTGCACTTGATACCATACCGGCAAGATCTGAAGCATTCAATTCGATGCGTCCTCATCTCTTCTTCTGAACGGTGAAAACTGCAGCTCTCTGTCTTGGTCCTATGAAAAGTTATTCAAAAGATACTCACTCGACTACATCCGTTATATTTTAGAGAAAAACAGTTCTTATCGTAATTTTTTTATTACGATATTAGTTCAATAGTGATCAAATAGCACAGAAAAATAGATCGTCGTTTTCTTTATCCCTATATAAGAAAAGAAAATTTCTTCAACTTATCTATATGGAAATAAGATACTGACAACACTACTTCTGGTGTGTCCTAAGTAGATAACAGATTATATCATTCTGTTAGTATCCATATAAAACTTTGTAAAGTTATACTTGACATGCAGCCAGTAAAAATAAATTCAGTTTGATGTGTCACTTAATATACCTTCATAACATTTGAGTTTTAATATTGTCTTTAACAAAATATTGAGTTTTTAAAAAAACATCCATTTAGTCATAAAGTAAAAATGGTCAATAAAGTTTTACAATTTAGTGAACCTTTTAACTGTGGTAAATTTTGCTAAGATCAGCATACAAAACTTTTGTTTTGATAGATGTATTCTTAAAATAAAATATTTTTCTATATAATGAGACGTTTCATAGATAGACAAATACTGTCGATTCATTTATTTGTCTTTCTACTAGCATAAATAACCTAAATATACTATATTCAATAGAGCTGTAAAACCGAATCAAAGCAGATATTTTTACTACTCGCCAAAGCCCATCGAATGGCAATAGTTACAAGTGGAGAGTAATTTGATAGCTGAGGAGATTAACTCTTCAGTACATTCTATTGAGTATCAATGAGCTTTTCGCATTTTTTGTAACTATAGCTTGTTTAAAAATAAAATGTTCGTGAGAATTTTTGCAATAACACAAGAATGGCAATAGCTATATAGCTGCAGTTTTCACCAATAGAAAGAGAAGACATGGAGACTATAACTTAAACGATTATCTTCATACAACCTAATATTAAGAAAATAAAATCGTCTATTTGATCCTTCAAAAAATATGGAAGCAAGTTTTTTTTAGTTCTTGTCAAAATTGCATCTGAATAACAGTTCTTTTTTCTACATTTTTTCGATGTTTTCTAAAACTGGTTGATTTTCTAAATCGATTCATTTTATACAGTTTTAAAGAAAAATACGTCTCAATGTCTCCTCTTTCTATTGGTGAAAATCGCAACTCTTCAACTTTTCCCATACTTGACCTATTGCAAAAATACTCACGACCATTTTAGTTTTACACAAACATTAGTTTCTTCATTTCTAATATTACTAATGAATCCGTATGACTAAATTCAATACAAAAAAAATAAATAAATCTATTTTTAGTTTAAGTATTCCGACAATAAATCTGTAGAATATGTTATTGATTTTACACAAAACATTGAAACATGTGTAAATACTCAGCTACAACGTCAAATTATTCGACATGCTGATGCTGGTTTACCACCACATTGGATGTTACAAACAGAAAATGTTGCCCGATTTTCATTAGATGAGAATTCAAATGAATACAAAGATATTGGTGCTTTATTTCACACAACAATGGCTAATGAATGTATTGTCATACTTCGTATAGAACGTATTCAAAATAAGCAATGGTATACACAATATAATTCATATAAAAGATTTTCACCAAAGAAAGATACAGAAAAAAAATTATTTCATGGTTGCCGACAAAAATCAGTTGATCTTATTGTTAATTCATTTTTCAATCGATCGTTTGCTGGAGTTAACGGTTGGTTCGCTTTTACTTTAAGAAATCTTTGTAAAAACAAAATGAGTTTATTTGCAGGTGTTTTATATGGACAAGGAGCTTATTTTTCAGCAAAAGCTTCCTACAGTCATGGTTATGCTATGCCAAGTACACAGAATGGTGAACGGTATATGTTTGTAGTCAGTGTAATAGTGGGTAATAGTACTCGAGGAAATACTAACATGAAAATACCACCTCCAGGTTTTGATTCCACTACTGACGGAGATCATATATTTGTTACATATCGAGATGATCAAGCTTATGCAGAATATCTTATTGTTTATAAATGATTTTTTCTCTACATAACTAGTATTATTCGAATGAATCGATGTCTTTGTTTTTCTGAGATTTGTGATATCTTATGTAAAGTAATCAAGATAATGAATTTTTTGTTTCTTAATAATAAATTTTTATTTTATTGAATTTCCTTTAAATACAAAGGAATAACAATGAGCTATAGCATAAAAAAAAGCTAAAAGTCATCAGTATCTTCGCTCGTTTTATTTCTTACTTTTTTGCGTTGCATTTTCAATAGGCTTCATTCGTTTCTTTTTTCCTAGACCTAAATGTTTAGTTTGTTTAAGACGTTGTTTTTTTAATAAATTATTTCTGGTTGGTTAATAGTTAAAACAGCTATTCTTTGTTTACGTTCTAAACGTTTGGTTCGTCGTTATTTAGCTATATCAACATAAATACTTGTTAATAAATGTATATTACAATGACGTTTAAATACATCTTCTGCAAGTGTTTTTAATAGTAAATTCATTGTTATTTCATCATGTTTTATAACAGTTAAAAATAAATTTGAAATGAGATGTTAAGTATAATAATAAATCATGTATAAATGCAGCTATCCATTTAAGAACAGATGAACGAAATCTTCTTTCATTTGGATATTTTGCTGATTCAAATATGGTTAAACAGCAAAACCGTTTAACAATTAATTCAAAATGAGTTGAATTTAATAAATAGATAAGATTTTTTTACTACTTGTGAACAAAATTTATCGATTAAATCTGATGGTTTAAATTGTGAACATAAACACGGTGTGGAGTGTGGGTATGGATGAGAATAACTACAAGTGGATCTACATCTACACCACACACACCTCCACACCCAACAGATAATGAATTATTTAATGAAGAGATCATCAATGGTTGATAAGGTTGCATTTGTATTAGTTTATCGCACTAAGTACCCAAAGCAAAACGGCGTACCATTTCTGTGAACTTTATTTATTTCAAAATGTAAACAGAAAAGGTGACATCAGTATATTTCAAGTTTTACAACAACTCATTGATTCATAGTTCAGTGGAAGGAATAATACGGATGATCTATGGATTCATCTCCCTTCTTGTATGCAAGAATACATTCGAAAAGAAACAACTGAATTATATTCTTGGAACGATTGCTTATTGTTAAGTTCATAATTACTTATTTCGAATAAAACTATATCATGTAAAAGTATGTTTCTGTAAAAACAATCGATTCTAATATGAAAATTTCTTCTCAACGAGATTCTTACACAAGTAAAAAATTGTAATTAGCAATTATTGGTTTGTTACCTTTTCCGTTTATCTTTTGATTGTGCAGTAACAAGATACGCTTTGATTTAGTTTTGTTCGCATTATCCAATTATATATTAAGAGTTGCAATTTTATTTTGTAGAGAATCAAATGAAAAATATTTTTCAAAACTATGACAATTTTAAAATGTAAGAATTTAGCAAAAATTTCAAGTAGTAAGATGTCAGTTTCTTTTACCCTACCTATTCTCTAAATTTTATGAAAAATTCCGAAATGAGCATTAAGGTGTGTCTGTTCACATCGGCATATAGTTAGCTGTCAAAAAAGTAAAAATCACACGCACACACATAATCGTTGCTTTAAATCAGTTGGTACCACATTGAATAACATGCACGCACATAGACTCGAAAAACTATTGCTGATCGATCATAGGTGTATCAACTAGAGAGAAATTACGACCATATGTATACAGTTCGAAGAGTTGAATTTGATTTAAACCTTTAATAAGTAATTGAGCCGGTATATAGAGTGTTTGCTGCGGACCAATATTCCAGTAACGACCCAGATTGAAGCCATTACAAAATGCTACACCTTTCGACCAGTTGGAATTCAACTTCAGATAAGTATCGCCAATAGATTGTTGATCATCGATGGAAAACGAAGCAAAGAAGAGACGAGGGCCATTAAGAAGAACATTGTTCGTCTTATGTTCAGTTAGCATCGAGCTCCAACCGTTCTTATTCGTTGTGCCTTTGCGAAATTCCAAAACATGTACGATCCACTCATTAATTTCGATCTTGTCATCAAGTAGAACTTTACCGAGCAGACCCTTTCGACTATGATCGAGCATCGGACCGAAATTGATACGACCCATATTTTCGACGAGAATCGATAAGTTTTCAGCTTTGGCAGGTAGATTAAATTGAAACCGATTGACACTTGGTAACGATTGAAATATCACTTGGCCATTAACAAGAACGAGAGCGTTATCAGCCACGGCTGTCACGTTCACTTGACATGCTAGACCTTTGCTTAGCGACAGAATATCTTTGGCGGTATAGAGGATAAAGCCTTGCGAGGCACCGGATTTATAATTAATTGGTAATTGTTCCATACTTTTCGAACCATTAGTTAGTGTCGTAGTTACTGTCAGTAAGTCATCAGCAAGGATCTGTTCGAATGTTTTATAGCCACTTATTTGAACAGTACCATAACTGATTTTCGTTGATGCAGGTGGAATTGTTGGAAGACTGTATTCATTTTGATGCAATCGATCATTATTTAAGACATAGAAATTCGGATTTTTTGAATAGAATTTGTCAAGGACACGTCGAATGGCATGATATTTCGGTGCTGGATCACCGGCTTCGTTTAATGGCGCATCGTAATCGTACGATGTCACAAGAGGCTTATACTGACTGGATGGAAAATGATGAGCACCGGAAGTAAAACCGAAATTCGTACCGCCGAAAAACATGTAGAAATTGATGGAAACTTCTTCTTTCGACGTCAGAAGAATTTCTTCGAGATCGGCTTCAAACGCCTTTGCATCATATGGCATTCTGGAGCCTGTCTGATGCTTTCCGCCCCAATAATCGAACCAACCCGTCCAATATTCAGTTATCATTGTATGATGTTTCGGCCGAAAACGACGTAAATATTCGAGGTTTCTTTTTGGTTCTCGTTGAAAATTGACCGTTGCCCAAACATTGTCCAAACTGCCAGCAGCCAATAACTTCGGTCCGTCCGATGTCAATAGAATTTCGTCAAGACCATATTTGATGTACATCGAACGAATGGCTTTTAGATAGGTTTTATCATTGCCATAACTACCATATTCATTTTCAATTTGAAATGCAATGATCGATCCTGCCCCATGCCGATTGTATTGATGCTCGGCAAGGAGCGGTAACAACCGCGAATAATAATTTCGTAGAGCTTGAAGAAAACCTTGATGACTACTGCGAACACGCATCGTCTCATCGCGAAGTAACCAACTCGGTAAGCCACCCCATTCCCATTCGGCACAAATGTAACCTGATAAATAAAATCAATTATTCTTTTTGATCAATCAAACATTTATCTAGATGATCAAACAAAACACGAATAGCAATGCATTGAGTTTTGCTTTTTCCACGTAAAAGTTGAGATTCAAAGAAGTTCACTTATCAGTGACTTTTTTGGATTTCAACTATTACGTGGGTAGTAGTACTCTTTATTATTTACTATGTTATAGTAGTTTTTAGTTTGAAATTTGACTTATTTCGTCTTGTGAGGTGGGATTCGGACATTTTAAGTTAAATCCTTCGCTTTTTTCAACTTCATCGAGTGTGAAAACAGATACGCGAACCATTTGATCAAACTTGTATAGAAACATGTATGCATGGAACTGCCTTATAAATTGATGGAGATTAAGATTGTGTAATTACAACCTAAAAGTACTTTCCTATACCATGTATTTAAAGTTACTTTAGTGATAATTTCTCGCTGGTAGTTTTCTATACCACGTACATAAAGTTACCTTTCCACGAAGTACTCCGAACTAATACCTAGAAAGTACGTAATCAAAAAGGAGTTTCTCATCGCACAGTAAACACTAATACTTCGAAAGAGAAAATTTACTTAAAAACACTCGTAGAAAAGCACATTTTATGCTACTTTTAGTAATTAAGCGAAAAAAAAATTGTTGAAATAGTGGCGAAGTAATATTAAATACTTATTTGGTGAGAAATTTTTTTTAATCAGTGAAAGAATATACTTTGAAAAACTAGAAATTGTACACAAAGAAGGCGACAAAATCAAATCGCTTTTTACTTTGATCCTAGAGATAATACTTTTTATTGAAAAGTCGCCACTCACTTCTTACGTAACTATAAGCATACGATGTTGTTGAAAAGTTTGTCTATTTCGAACATCCAAACGGAAAATGGCACTTCATTCGCTTTTTGAACTTGAGACATAGTTCGTACATCTGAAACAAACACTTTTCACGAGCGAGAGAGAAACTGAGTTTCAAGCATTGAAACGTTTTAAACAAGAAAAACTAATAAGTGACAAAGCGCTATATATCCACGGAATTCAACAGTTGCTAATCCTATCATATTGCAAAAACAAAATAGCTAGAGCATGTTAATATTCCGATAGAATGCTGTTAAGTACATATTCGTACTATATTAGCAACGCAAATACTTTTGAAAGCATCAAAATTACTGTAATACACTGAATGGTTTGAAAAAGTAGTGTTAAGTGCTTCTTTCATTTTCAACAGTAACATAAAGTGCTGATTTGAATTTAATAAATGTAAAGAGTACTAATAAGTAATTTTAAAACGAATAAAAGCACTATGAATTAACTCTTTATACGCGAAAACTACAATAAAATACATCAGAAAGTATCAAAATCAATATAATATATTTCATAAATTTAATTCATTTTACTTTATTAATATTGAAAGTATATAAAAGTCGATTGTTTTTTTTTCTATATGGGTTTTTCTCCGTCAATCTGCTGGGAACACGATGAAGATTTACCTGAGGGTCGAACAATAGCAAACATTTCATTTTCATGAATTAACTTGAGAAAACTGGTTAAATCGGTGAGACCTTCGCCAAATTGATAATTGCCTTGCTGGGGTTCATGTAAATTCCATGGAACATAGGTTTCAATTGTATTTAGACCTGCCGCCTTCATTTTTTTGATACGATCGGGCCATGATTGTGGTAGAACACGAAAGTAATGTAATGAACCGCTGAATATTCGAAAAGGTAGTAAATGTTTACGAGTTTGATCGTTATTTTTGAACAGACGAATGAATAAATGCTGTTCGTTATCCAACACTAACGTCGGTAAATACGTTGCTGACATGATGTAACTTTTGAGAAAGTAAATGAAGAGACCAAATGTAATAAGATAACCACACGCAGCGAGAGGTCGACAGTGATATGGAATGCAATTTATTCGCTTTGTCCATAGTTTCATTGTAATGCTTCTTGCTTGATTTTTTTTGTGCATATTATCAATGTTATCGAATATGTAAGAGAAAAGCTGCTCGACGAAGACGTGTGTGCGCCTCACTGCACACTATTATTATTTCTTCGCACGTGTGAAGTAACGAAAGCGAAATGTAATGCTGAGCGCAGTAGATGACGAAGAAAAAAACGTGTCGAAGACTAAAATTGTTACAAGTGAATTAAAATGGCGACTGTATGTTCTTAGTTGATTAAAAAGAAGTAATCGACGCTTACAAAATAAGAATGACAATAGGCAAATCGGTTGTATCTGTGTCTTGTGCTTAGGTCAGTCACGGCATGCTCATACATGAAGTAATGGTCTGTAACAGTTATATTCTTCAACGTAGTCGTATCAAACATCAGCTGAAGGCGTTCTTTTTCTCTCTTTCTTTCCTTCGCTTTTTCGATGAAGTCAACAACCGAACCGTGCACACTTCGACTCAGAAGCAAAAAATTGTCATAGTAAAAGAGGAAGAACGAGCAGTATGAAACACGTGAGAAGAACAGGAAAAGACATCATCTTCGATGAAGATTTTTCATTTATTGTGTCATCACGAAACAAGCTCCTTCGATGGAAATCCCGTTCAATAGAAACATCTGGTGAACTAATCGAATGCCGAGCAGCAGTAGTTAAATCAGTTAGAGAACTGTCACCATCTGTCAGTATTTTGTCAAAGAGAATATCCCGTTTGTGTCGAATGTGACGCTTTTTCTTTAAGCAAAATTCATGATGAGTGGTAAAGTATAAAGAATGAACACTTACAAGCAAATGGCTTCAAGCATCCGATCATTCTTTGATCGAGATTGCAGCAAGACGATAGACTACGGCGAGTAGTGTCAAAGCTTTTCTTCATGAGATATTGAAATTTGTCACAGAAACATGTAGTTTTACTCATGTCACCATTTGAAACTTTGCACGAATTTAGCCCTCAACGACACTAGACTATTGGGTGTGGGGTGTTGATAATAAGAAGACATAGACCCACATCTATACCCAGCTCGAAGAATTCATCATCATCATCCCTCAAAACTGGTAATAACAAACGTAACTAGTTCAATTCTCATTCGACTCTCCCGTTTTTTAAATTTAATCGATCGTGCAATAGGTCTTATTACCCGATATATTCGTTTGGTTGATCATAATCATTCTGGCATTGTTCGAACTATTTGACAAGCGCATCAGCATTAATGAAGTACTTGGTCAAAAGCTACCAGTGTGTGTGCGTGTCGCCAGATAGAGAATGCACATCCGCACCCTTCACATGTTTTAATCTATTCTTCTATAAAGAGCGATGGACAACTCTTTACGAAAAAAAAAGCATATGGTCTTTTTTCTATCATATAAAACTGAAATAAACTCATCAAAGATTAGTTTCTTTTTATACTTACAAGTGTCAAAGTATTTCTATTGAATTAAATGAATCATGTTTTACCATTGACCTTGACTTATCTTCGAGTCATAACAACATGGACTATTCATCTTCAATGTAAAGCAATATTCTAGTTTGTCATTTATCACTTCAAGAAGATTGATAAATGACTATTGAATATACTGTTTTTCTTTTCAAATAATATTGACACGGGAAATATATCTAGTGTAGCATTCTCGCAAATAAACGACAAATATTAAGCCACCAAAAGGACGAAATCATTAAAAAAGTAATTTATTGATAAAAGTTATTTACTGGTTGTAATATCTTAGTATTAATTTCGTTTAATATAAACACACTTTTCAAACGTACAGTTTTTTTGTGGAATCATTTGTGTCGAAAATTTCTTCATTTGAAAAATAAAAAAGCAGGTTCAAATTTATCTGGAACCATCGAAAAAAAAGTATACGAATGAAGTCTGAAGTACTAAAATTAATCTACCAGTACTATTTATTTCAAATAAACTTCTTGCATTTACACATAACAATTGATCAGTATAATGGAAAACCACATTTTTTAATTAATGAATAAATAATGACGTATTGAAAGGATTTCTATGTTCTATTGAAAGTAGAGATGTAAGCCAGTTGCAGACGTCGCAAAATATAAATAGATAGCAAACTTTTGGAAACCCTCGACATTCATGATCAGTTTTCCGATAATGTTCTTATCTAGCTTCTCTTCATTACGTTTTCTACATCAGTTTCATTGTTTTTCATTTTGAAATTCCACGGAACTGAGAATATGATCGTTCTTTTTTTTTGTGAGAAAAAGTATTTGAATAGAAATGATTAATTAAACTTCTATTGAAAAAAAGAAACTTCTTTAATTGAATATTACTTATCAATTCAACCCATAAATTCTCAATAACAAATAATCGATCGAGTTATATCAAGTAGAAATTCAGATGAATTTTTAAATCAAATAAAAACACATAACGATTGTTTTTATATGTAGCGGTCGAAACGTCAACAAGATATTTTTAGTACAAGACGTAGATTAAAAATGCTTTTTTTTTTAATCTAACAAATCTAATGGCGTACAAATAACCTAGATTTAAATAATTGGCATATATTTATAATGATTTGTAATCAAGCAATATAAAAATCTATCTGTTCGTTCAATAAAAATTGGTGTAATTGCTTGGATTTATCGTTATTCTTTTGAGGATCAACGGGTTTTATCTTGTTCAATACCATTAAGGATTGCTGTAGTTGAATAATCTTCATTTGGAAATTTAGTCGATTCACATGATTATTATTTCAAATGATAAAAATATTTTAAGCATTAAAACTAATTCAATTTTTTTTAATAATAATTGTGTTAATCTTCATAGTATTAGTGAATTTTATTCGACATCAACTAATCAATTTCATTTTTGAACTCGTATGAAGGTATCAAAATATAATTAGAATTAGTTTACCATCAGCATTTAAAGATATTTGATATAGAAGAAATCCCCACTATTGATGAAAATTTCAGGTTAGTTGAACAATTATCCGATGTCGACATTGTGAAATGTTATTGTTCAATGAAGATTTAGATTTTAATTTACCAATAAAAAGTGCACAACAAGTACAATAAATGTTAAATTGATGAGAAATTCAAATAAAATTAATTGAAAAAAACATTACATATGACTATTGGAGACTTAATTATACAATCGAACAACCGAGATCACAATAAAATCAGTCGAATTAATTCAACATTTATTTATTATTCATTAGTTTTTTACTTTTATTTTATCACATATTCATCGAAATTAACGCATAATGTTTCAATTAATTAAAGACGTAATTGAAAGAAAACAACTTTTGTGAAACTGATATATATTTTCGAAGAAAATATAGCGAATGGAAGTTAAAATCGAGGTTTTTACAGCTTCTCTTTACAGATCTTATTAACTAGAATTTAAAGGTGCTGAATGATATCATTAACAAACCTTAGATAGCTCTAGAACATTCCATAACCTTCCTTAAAATTTAAATTGCTACAATATGTTTATCAGTATTCAAAATAAAGCGCTTATGTTTTTTGCGTAGATAAACGATTATATTAAAGATATCAATTCAGTCTTACTGAGCGCATCGCGATACATAATAAATCATTAGGATCTGCTCTAGATAAAACGAATGTGTACAACTAGGGGTGTGTGAGTGGGAGCAGGTATTGACTCTCTTAACCCACATCCAAATGCTAATTATTTGTAGGGTAAATAGGTTCACTGAATGGAACTATTTTTTTGACTGTTAGACATTCTTAATCTGTCACATTTGTGTGGCAATAACTTGAAAAAAAAACTCAAGATATCTTTTTTTTCTCGATTCGGTGAGGTCATTGATAGAAAGACTTAGCTTACAACGAATGTTAATACTTTGGAAGCATTGGTGTTTGATCGTTTCTTGCTCATTGGTTCATATGATGATCACGTTTGATAACTGAAGACAAAGCTTTGTAACGCGATAGGTGATACTAGAGCTATGAAATTATTCCCTGCTGCTATTGAAATTATTTTATAATGAACTCTTTGCAAACTATTGATTTTATTACGTTTTTGAGAGTTATTTGTTTCGCAGTCTCTTTTCACGCTCATGACATTTGATCTCAACATTCGATTCTACTTCCCTCTTCTTACAAGAACAACCATTTTTGCATGTTTTTGTATTTTATGCCTTTTTATGATATTCCTAAAAGTAGACCAAGCATTTATACTTCTATTTACTTTAACAAAATCAATCATTCATTCGTTCTTTTATCATCTAGATTTAACAACACTATTACTTCTTTGCCTGTGATTTCATATGTCCTACTGCTATCTTCAATTTATCTTCCACTCTTCGAACATTGATTTTAATGCTCCAATGCGAGATCATAATGACCAAGACATCGACGAAAAATGCCAATATTGTTGTAAGATTCACCCAAGTCAGAATGAACCGCTGGTAGATGCTTCCTATCAATAGTAAGTAACTTTTCATAGGAGTCAAGCGCTTCTAAATACTTCTTTTGTTCTAGATAGATGATGCTGATGTTGTTGTAAAACATGGTTATCTTGAGGGTGTGAGTGTGAATAGTCATAACATTCTTACCTACACCTACTGACACACACAGTGCGAAAAAGAAACGAGACATGCACGTTTTGTATACGCAACGTATTGTTCAGCATTCAATAAATAAACGACTCACGTGTATGCCATCATATAGCATTCGAAGATTCATATAGACTACTGAACTCATTGACCAGTTTCAATTGATTATCATTGTCCTTGTACACCTTCTTACACAATTCCATTAATTCTCTCTTGTCTCGTTCATTTGGTTTCATTCTGATCAGAACATCGATCAATAATTACGAATGCAGGAAGTTCCCGCTCAAATCCGCTGAAAATCGATCGAAAGTGTTCATTGCCAATGGTTCTTCAACTTGAACTCGACAGTTTTGATCCATTTGGATGATCTTTATTTGTTCACCAAGTCAGTACAAACAGTTTTAACCTACAATGAACTAACAATACATTGAATAATTTTCAATAATGACGTGTGTGCCTTGCTGTATGGCCGGCTTCATTATTCGTTTGGTTCTTTGTGAAAGCCATAAATATAAATTGATGATATTTGTCATAGTTTTTCGCATGTCAGGTACCACACTACGATCCAATTGGCCGCTTACAATCAGGATTATGACAGTGTCTTGACGAATACAACGAATACAATTCATAAATTCATCAGGATCAACAAAATTTCGCAATTTGTTAATGATTGATGGTAAACGTTTCTGTATTGTTGACAGAAGCATCTAACCAAAAGATGCTGTAAATTTCCAAATTGTCGTTACTAGTATTATATTGAATCTTCGAAGATGCCACGTTTACTTAGTTTTGTATCTATGTATGATTATTTCTGCGTACGTATGTGCTTAAATATTCCTGTTCTCTTGCGCTAGCCATTCGAATGGTTTTGCTTTGCTACTAAATGCGCTTCTATTTACAATAGCCACGTTGGAAAAAAATATTCACTATCTTGCCTCTATTCTTTTGTAGCTACTCAGAAGTTCTTCTATTTTTCGTTTCACTCTACGCCAAAGACAAATAGAGCAAAATCTCTTATAATTTCTCATAATCTATTGTATGCTGTTCCAACAATTCATATTTACCCCACTTCCTTGGGAGCCATGTGAGCACTATTTTGCCAAAAAAAAGTCATTTTATCATGTTTAGTTAGATGCATTATGTTTGCATCACCCGCAGATTTTACGTCAGTCAACAATATCATACTCTTCAAATGTTTGGTATTTTCTAAATTCTACAAGAAATAACTCTACAGTGTGCATGGGAACATACCTGTCTAGATTGTGCCAAAGTTCTTTATTTCCACAATGTTTATCTCATTTTCGAAGTACACTGATAATTAACTGACAACGCTATCACTCAATGTCTATCATTATATAAGTGAGGTAAAAGTGACAGCGAAATTGAGTTTTCTAAACTGATCTTCATTAAATAATGTCTCCTACCAATAACTTGATTTGCAACGAAAACCAAAGCTAAATTTTTTAGGGCGTTCTATTATTTTCCACGCGAAACACTCATGCAGTAAATCATCATATACCGTAGGTGCGAACATGTGACGATGCTCGTCACATTGTTTTCTTAGCTTCCACAAACGCTCAAAACATACTCCTTTGGATTTAGCTGGCTTTTGTTTCATTCTCGATGCATGACGTCAGACCAACAATGTTACTGACGACAGTTCTCTCAAACTCATTCATATCCACCTGCACATCCGAAAAACAAGAATACACTCATAGCCAGGTAGACACTTATAAATAAATATAGCAATGCATTGTGCAATCCTTTACTCACACCGAAGCACATAGCTCCATACTGATCAATACAATAAAGCTGCATCCAACGCACAGACAGACTCTCTTTTATAGCCACACCAATGTGTTCGACCACACGCTAGCCACCGCTCATGACACAACCACAACGAGTGATACACGGTGCCAAATCCACATCATACTCACACGGCTAGCCACAAACAGTAACCGTATTCACAAAACATGCATAGTGGGAGACATACAAACACCATAAGTTTTCGAGAAAAATTAGATTTCGAGATTTATGCATATTCTGATAGTTCTTACAATGTGCTTTACGCTGGCATGACTTTCTTTTGTCAAAAGAAGAAGGATAAGTTTATTTTTTCTGATGATATTTTTCGAGAGGTTCCCTAGCTGAGAAATATTAATTTGCATTGAATAGAAAATTTTATAGCTTTATAGCACGAAAGCTAATTTCATATAGACTTCGGTGATGTTGAATTGATTATGCGCATTTGGGGTATGTTTGACTAGCTATGGGTAGTGTGTAGAATAAAGGCCTTGTCCTCACCCAATCCTCTCTCAGTTCATTCATATCTTCAAGATAATTAGGTTTCACTCAAATGAAGATTCAGCATCGATATCGTTTTCCTTGCATTGTTCGAATGAAACAAGAGTTGATCGACTTATTATTGTAGACTAATCAATGGTTGATGTAAAACATAATAAGCTGAGATTTTTTTTTATTTGAAAATATAAATGAAAGAGGTAATTATGATCATTTGAGAAATCATGTTGAGTTCACACAAAAACTTCTTATGGTATTTCAATTCATTTCTATATATCACTATCTGTTTGTTGATATCAACGTTCTCAGTTAGGATACCATGACATATGCGAGATCGGATCCTCCGCTAGAATAGATCTTGAGATAAAAAGCAACAGAATAATAATTTCCAATCACAGTGGGAAAGGATTGGACCAAATAATCAAAATGACCACCATTGTCACATTTATCTACATAGCAATACGTTCCAGATTTACAAGAACTTGTCGTTAATTGACCATAATTAGTGCCAGTTCCACCACAATTAGCATCAGTAGCACAATATTGTGTCCAACCCGTAAAATTGCCCATTTCAAACCCACCATTTATAAGAATATTTGTGTTACTAGCTGTACCAGTCACAGAGATACGGTCCAGTAACCAATAATGATGGCATTCTCCACTGTCACCCGCCATGATAAATGATAGAGTTGCCGAAGTACTCGTAGCATTGAACCCATATGTATAAAGTGTATAGCTGGTCGGGGCAGAACTAGAAGTAAAGCTAAAAATCGCTCCTGTTGTATTGGGGCTGACACAAGATGGCACTGTCAAAAGAAAAACCTTATTAGGTCTCAACAAATACAACGTGTTACGATTATAAACTTACTTGTCGTCGTTTTTGTCATTGCCGCTAAATGAACAACAAGTAATCAATCATAAAACAAAGATAAAATGGTTATTGGGGAAAAATTCTGTCAAGTTGTGTCATACCATATCGACAACACTCTTTTGACATAGTTCCCAGAAAATTAAATACCTCGGACTTTTTCAAGACAAAATTTGCTATTCTCTGAGTCAAGAGTTAGTAAAAACAAACTATAATTGTTCTAATTCGTACTAAAAATTCCCCATAAGTATCTGTTGGGTTTAACAACATTCTACAATAATTTCTGACAAGCAAATCGAGAGAAGTATGAAAGTTACGAGTTTCTCGTGTTAAGTTTTAAAATTGTTTGTTTTTCAACACATTTTTTGTTTCATTTTATTCAGCAATTAAGGAAGTACAATGTCTAACAAATATCTCGTCTACTATGTCTCCTCTAAGCTTTTCAGGCGTTTCTTTTCATTAATTTTTATCTTTAAAGAAAAGATAATTTTAAAAAAATTACTTGTAGCCGTTGCTGTCAATGTGGTAGTCGGGGTCCATGTCGTATCTACAGAAACAAATTTCTGAGTAAAGAATTACCGAAGCAGAAGTCTTTTGAAGATATTCTCAGCGATGTCATAGATTTTTGCCTTTTACATAGTCGAAATTATCTATAGTTCATTATATCAATAGAGTCTTGACTTTTTAGCTTGTGTAATAAATCAGTTAGAACAAAATTTTCGAACTTCCGACTTTGCAAAATACGTCTATGAGCAAAAATCAACAAGAAAAAGTCTTGGATTAACATTAGTGGTGATACATTTCAATACTAGCAACACTCTTGTTCCTTTCTTTAAAAAAGTAGAATACAGTATCTCAACTCAAGACAAAGTGTTACGTATTTTCCTTGAGCACGTGATAAATCGATCAATTTTCTCAGTTAACTTCTGACCTGTCGAAAGCGTAGACGGATATCAGCTCTACCGGTTCATATAAAAATGATCAGAACTCATCTGTCCAAAAAATAAAAAATGGAAGAGTGATTGATTTTCCATCAAAATAATGAAAATTTCCAACAGAGATCATGAGGTTAAAAAAAATGAAATTTATACTTGAAGCGCAGACACTTAGTAAATCATTCTGAAATGCAACTCTTGTATTTTCAATCTCAAAAGCATCATGCAACATCAGACGAGAATAGTATGAAAATCATCAAAATTATATCAAAAATAATAATTTCAACGAAATTAAATTAGTTTAGTTTTTCTGACTTATTGGACAGTCACAGTCGTTCAATCGGTGTTTTCTACTTGCTACCACAGCTCGATACATAAGCCAAGTAAAGGGTGTGGATATTGATGAGTATCCTTCCTTACTGTACATCTATGACTGCTCCAAATGAAGTTATGGCAGAAGACTTCGCCAATTTCTTCCTTCACTTTTCGGAGCACTATTCATGATGTTTGATGAGATATATAGCGCAATTCTTACTGTTTATAGAGAATCACTCACTCTATCTATTTGTGAAAGAGTTTCTAATCCATGTCATACGATGAACGAGGAAACTCTGTTTTTAATCGATCTATGTCTAACTGCTGGCTTTAACAGTTATTCTGCACAGCATAGCCGTTGTATATAATCACTGCTAGTAAAGTTATTACAGACGGTTGGTGATGGTAACCAGATAATATTTGACCGTTTTCTATCTGAGTTGCAGAGCTTACATACGTCTCTACGTCGGAAAAAACACAAGGAAACGATCTGAGATATTGATCAAGTTACCATCTCTACAAGTGCGAAGAGTAATATTTTGTCAGTAATTGTTAAAATTTACTTTATATTCGGATACTGATTGTTTTTCTAAGATTGCCTATGGTAGTTTTGAGTCTTACTAGTCAACGTTGCTGTCATTGGTATGATCTTCGTTGTTATCTCCGCTAAACATATAAATCATCATACAGTTTGATCATAACATATTTGATAGCTTTATTCACGCTAAGGTATTCCTGCACGTTTGTCAAGTTTTCTTACTCTATATGATTTGCTAGAGCGCTGATTATTTTACCTAGCTTGAGTGTGTGGATGTAGAATGAGAGTAAAGAGAAGAACAATGTTCACTTATCCATCTTCACATTCATAACAAGCTAAACTACTATTGTGCCTGCTCTGCGCTAAAGCATTTCTGTACTAACGTAAGAATGGGATGAAAATGGAAAATTGTTTTTATTGGCCATTGTGTTGAGTTGCCCCATTCATGGAGACATACTATGAAAAACAGAGAGTGTATGGATTTCCATTGAGTCTCGTCATTTTGTAGTAGAAATGTATTCCATTTGAGGCGAAGAAGCAAAAATAATTCTAGTTAATGGATTTATCTCCTTAGTAGCTCTTGCAGCTGCAATTTACTTTTGTATACTTGTTTGAATACTTATTTTTCTATTGACGACATTCATGTGCTTCATAGAGAGCTCTGGATATTATTCTATCATTTTGATCAATGCTGATTCCCGATGAGAGCGCAACTGATCGAAATGAAACTTTTACCACAGTTGCAACATGGAAATCGATCAGATCAATGTTTGAAGAAAAAGTCTAACATCCGTTTTCACAAATTTTCCAAGTCTTTATTTTATATCACCACTTATTCTGGCCCTTCTCTAATTCTCTTCGATTATGCTAAGATTGTTTTGGATATAGCAAGCAGAAGATTTCAGAATGCACATCACGTTTTTTAAAAAATCACACTCACAATTTTTTAACGAAAAAATACTCAGAGTTGTAACTGAAAAGTTAGGTTTTCATTTCCAGAACTTCTTAGTTGACAGTCAAAAGTATAAGAGATCAGCTTTTAATTGCAATTCGGTAAGTACTCTCAAGTTTTTGTGGTGTCAATTTTAGTCGGATTGGATTGGACAAAATTACTATGTAATCATGAGCATGAGCGGGACTGATTTAAAGATTAGATTAGTTGAAAATTGTTGACAAAACAATATTAAACTTTTTCCTTCCTACTGGCATCTCTTTAATGTTTATGTGCTAGTGGTGAAAAAGATTTCAGATAGATCAGTTGCACCTCTTTAACCACCACCACACTCGTAATCGACCCAATAAATCGCGATAGAATCATCGTTTTTTATGAGTAATTTTTATGTCATGGAATCAAATGATAATTATTTCATGTAGGTTTATCTCAATCAAATATCCAACAGTAAGTAGTAACTTTAATAAATATAGTACTTTTTTTCCTTTAGATTAATTTCAATCAGTTCCAAAGTAAATATTAATTTAGATCAATAAATACTTTTTCTTATGTTGGCGAGGAGAGGTTTAAGAGAAAATTGACTCCCTCTTCATTGGACAAAAGCTTATGTATAAACGATGGTAAACGACGTCGTACACGACTGTATCTGATCGTGTACAATGTCTTATATGACTGTTTATGCATGTCCTGGGTAAAGGATCTCCAATTACTTTAATATATGAGTTAGTAGTATATGTATCAATTTTTAATTTGCTTTGTTTGTCATGATTTTTACAGTGCTTATTTTTATAAATATATATTTCCATATACTTTTATTAATTAAAAACTAGAATTGTTTTTGTATCTTTGAAATGATGTTCTTTGCAACAGACAATTGGTGTGAAAAAGAATCAATATACTTATGGATGATGACCAGCAATCATATTCTTTATTAGATTATAAAGATCATGATACGTTTGATATGAAAAAAGCAAAGTATTATTGTATCTAGTACTACATTGAATATGAAATTTAGATTAATTTGCTAGTTATACACTAATTATTGTCTGATAAATAATGTATTGTTATCTTGTAGTATCTCATTTAATGTCTTTTATATTGAATCCTAGAGTTGAAATTATTAGAAAAATATATGGTGCAATGAATTTTATTGTCAAATCTATTAAGAAGAAAAGCATCGAAAAACTTTTCTTGAGAATGATTTCTCACATTATCTATGGGTATTGTACGTATGGTGTTCCTTCATAGAGAACATATGTTTTACTTTGAATTTCGTATTATATGCAACTTATTTCAATAGGATAATGCTACAACGCTAGTTTTTTTCTACAGAGAAGTTTCGACATGACTATGTTTTTGTTTGTGGGTGGCGCTTTGTTCTACATCTACTTAGTTCTTCTGAAATTTTTGCATTGTAGCAGGTCTGAAATGCGTACTTGGCAATTAACTCTGCAGATGATAGCTAGTTCAAATCAATGAACTTCCGTAGAAATAATGTCTTCTCGTATAGACTAATTAAACGAGAAGAATATAGTCTGATAGATTAAGTAGGCGTAAGCATGAAAAAGAACTCATATTGGATCCTTAAATTATTAACAATTAATCGTAAGAAAGAAAATCTTAAAATTTCAAGATTTATTGTAACTAAAATGTTTAATATTTTACTTTGGTTCGAATGCATCCTTTAAAACAGATGGAAGAGAAAGACGAAATGTCCGATTCGTAATACTCAAATCTGAATGCACAATCTTTAGCTTGTATTGTTAAAGACTTTTCTGGTGATACAAAAAGTTCTATCACCATTATCATGTTGTTACCATAACGTCCTTCCGAGCTTCTTTGCTGCTGACAAATACTCAACAATTTTCGGCCTTCTCCTCCTTCCTTTGGCTGCTAAGGTCCCATGAATGGGAACTGAGAAAATCTCGATTTAAGCTTACAGTCATTATTTTCTTAGAAAATATATGGGAATTCCACAAAATTTCTCTTATGAAGTGATTCGGAGACTGGCGAAGAAGATAAATTGAAATCTTTTAATATGAGATAAAATATTTACGTTCATAAAGAATCAAATTTCACACTAATCATCGTGGACTAACTATGAGTTGGATTGTTCTTAATATGTGCATTTTGCATACCTTATAGAAAAACAAGAAAATTTTGAATTTTAACGTAAATCTTCGCTTTAAACATTAAATCTTAAGCTTCCATTAATAAAATTTCTCTTCTACTCACTAACAAGACTTCTATTTGAAAAACTTATAACAGTAGTATTTTCACTGGTGGCCATCCATTGTAGTTGTCCTTGCCATAGATTTGCTGAGAAGAGTAAACATATTTGATAACGACCATAATAAATAATCGTGTTACAGTTCGAATTCGTGTAACATTGACAAATGCATTGGTTACGTGATGTTATACCATAGAGACTACCAAGCCAGTAAGTACTATTGATCGGAACAAACATTGCATTATTAATCACAGCAATGCTCATCATCCATGCTAATGGATAACACGAAATAAGAAGTAGAGTTACCCTCCAAAGCATATTGTTAATGATTTGAAACTAAAACAAATATATTTCATATCAGTTAAATATCGAATACTTTGAGAATCAAATCTTTTGATTAGCTACACATTTGAACGCTAGAAAAAAGATACAAGAAAATACTCATGCATATAAAATTATATTGAAGTTTAGTATCTCATCAAAGTTATAACAGGGATGATATTTGAAAGATTAGCATGAATTAAAAGTCTACCAAATGACTTTTCTTTTATATATGTATACATTAATATGAAAATGTTTTATTGAATATTGTCACAAACTTTTCATACTACTCTATTCTTAACTATCAAAAGATTCACATTCGAACGTTGTTTATTATTGAAAGATGATTATTCGTCTTTGTAATCTACCTATAAAAAAAAAAGTAAATATGATTCTATAGCACATGAATTCAAATGGTTCCATTCAAGCATGATTGTGTTGAATATTTCAGATCGCTACAAAATGCTGTTCTTGACTTACTGAAATTTTAACTGAGCATCATCAAGTATCGTGCTTGTAGAGTCTATTTGATATAAAATGGAAGAGAAAAAGCAGAATGATGAACATTACACGAAGTGTTCTCATATACGTTTTCTTTTGAAGTGTGTTCTGTAGAATTAGGAATCAGAGTCATTTGAAAAGTAAATGTTTTATGAGATCTCAAGTGTTGCTCTCGATGTAGAAGGAAATCATATTGTATTTTACTTTTTATGATTTTTGTAGGAATGTTGCTGCTCTCAATTATGCTGTTTAGATATAAAATAAATATGTAGGACCATTTTCTCTTCTATAATGCTCTATTATTTGATTTCATTTCAATAATGAATATCTTTTATTCACGGAATTGTATGAATATATTTCGATTAAGGAAAGTATATGATAACTATCATGAAAACCTTTGACTAATAAATTGTTCATGAAGTTTTTAGAAATTTCAAAAATATTTCAAAAAAAAAGTCACGGAAATACTTAATTTTACTATACAATAAATCAAATTCTATCATGCATTCGAATATTTCCATCGAATTATGACTGCATATGTAGAACTTCATAGACAATTAGTGGTTAATTGTTTTATTTCATTAGTATACGATAAGGACTTGATTTAACTATTCTTTCTCACGAGAATTACCAAGGGCTTACGCAAAATTTACTCATCCATAAGTCAATATGTGAACATTCGGTTTTGCATTACAAGATGCGAATGTTCAACAACATTTAGTAGTTAAGAGATGTGATATTTAATGTATTTTTATAGATACGCCACTAAAAGCTACAATTTAATGATGTAAACGGTATATTTTTTGGTCTGTTGCACTCTCAAAATATGACCTATTCAGGATTTAATTACTTATACCAGCAATTTTGATACAATGACTATGCAATTCAAGCACTTTTAAGAAACAAATCAATACTTTTTCAACGAATGATAGAACTATAAATATACAAAATTAATTAGTATGTCTCATAAATCTAATTACTCACAAATATATAAAACTTGTATTAATTAAGATGTGCGTCAAATCGAACACGAATATTAGGTTTTACTAGTTATCTAATTAATGCAATTTTGTTTTTTTTTTAAGTAAAGCAAAGTCTTGTATAAGCTCTATGATGATAGGACAGTAAGAGTTTTACGTATACTATACCTTAATATGACTATAATAAGTGCAAAAATGCATAGGAAACAAAATTCAATTCTCGCATTTCCTCATACATTCACACATTATCTTTATTCTAACACTTTATCTCTCACCTTCACGGTTATTTTTCATTTTGTCACCTACTTCACACAAAGTATACATTCTACTGTGCCATATTTATTAGTTTCAAAAAGCTAGTAATTATATCTATTTCAACAAGTAACGTTCATCGAGACTTAATTCACTTGGCTCTGTGCTAACGTAATTAAAATAGATGTATAGAATAGGGGTGGACCATTTAATTTAACGCGAGTTAATTAACGGCGTTAATTAACTAAAACCGTTAACCGTTAATATTAACGGTTAACGGTTTCCCTAAAAACGTTAATTCGTTAATATTAACGGTTAACTAATACGTTAACGTTAATATTAACGTTAAGTAAAAACCGTTAACGTTAATATTAACGTTAACTAAAACCGTTAACCGTTAATATTAACGGTTAACGGTTACGTTAATTCGTTAATATTAACGGTTAACAGTGTTAGTTAACGTTAATATTAACGTTAACGGTTTTTAGTTAACCGTTAATTTATGGTAAATTAACTCATTAACGTATAAACAACAATCATATATCGTTTAATTTCGAATTTTTTCATAGAAAAATCAACATTCACACAATAACTATTTTCATGCTATAGATGAGGATGTCATTATGAACTACGAATTGAAATCATATCTATATTGATCTAATCTCATCTTACAAGATATTCTTGAATTCTCATATGAGCATTTTAGTAGAATACGAGAATCTTAAAGTGGGACATTTTGAGTTAGTTTGAAATCGAAGGTTAACTTTTGTTAATCATTGCTATTGGTGTTAAATAGTTTTTAGTGAATAGCTCGTTCATTTGAAATTAATTGATAAACGTAACTGGTATATTTTTTCGACAGTAATCCAGATAAGAAAAGTAGATTATCTGAGCGCATTTCGTCTAACCTACCAAAAATTATCAATAAGCATAATTCTTCGACGATTTACTATGATATTTAACAATATTATTAGTTGTCGAAGTTTAAATAGACTTAGCATGTAAGTTTTTCAATACTTTTGCCTTTGGTTTATGAGAATAGATAAGAGTAGGTCACATATTCACGTTGATAATTATAAATATAACAGTGAAAATCGTAAAAACAAATGTTAAACACGCTTTTTAAGTTTTGAAAGGTTAACTAATTCTGATAATTAAAAATTGATTGGTATTATATTAAATAGTCTTCGAAAATTCATAAATGAAATGATAAGATGAAACTGCTACGCTGTCAAAGATACACACGTTGTTTTCTTGTGTAGCTATTAAATGGAAATATGTTTATCCTTATACATTTCACATGACTTGACACATAAGATAGTCGCAATTTGCAACTCGCAAATATACTTTACTAAAAACTGCAAAGAAATGTAAAACATTAAAAATGACATCAAAATCTACCAAATATCATTTATAGGTAACAGAAGAGTGATTATTTCAGTTTGCAAGCCATCTAAATGATCGCCGATATTTCATTTAAATATACATATTATCTGAAGTTTAATACAAGTTAACTGGAATGTTGACTGAGTGATTGTTGAATCTTTAATCAAGAAATTTGTTAGTACATAGCTTCAAGAAGGACTTTTATATAGAAAAATCGCCCAAATATTGTTAGTTTTCTTTAGTTTGAATAAATGATTTAAAACAATTATGTGATTGAACAAAATGATGTTATTTGATTCACTGTATATTTATATTCATCAGTTTTGGACGTTGATATGATCAAACTAAATTTTTATTTTTGTCATGTTTATTCATAAAGCATTTGTCTTGAAAAAGAATTAAGAGTGTTATAGATATTTTGATAGAAGATATAACAGTAAAAATATTTGCCGAGAGATATACACCATCCTTTCGGAGTAGATTCTAACTTATCAATCAGTTCGATACAATTTATCTATAGTATCGATAACATTCTAAAAAGCTTTTTGATATTCAAACTAGAAATAATAAATGGTTTTGCTATCAGCTTACGATACAGTTCCAATCTTAGTCAATGATTATGTCGTCTTGATGATTTCGATCATAATTTTAATCCGATAATGGAAATTTTTTTCTATACGCGCGAGAAAAATGAGGTAGTAGTACATATTATGGTCGAACCTGATAAGTTTAATAAAATAATGTTTTTCTATACTATTATATCAGATATATTTCACTCAGTTTTTCTTGATTGAATAAGAAAAACGAAAGCAACTGTCTGTGAAAATCAGAACATTTTTGAAAATGAATTATAGTAGCTTTTGTAAAGCTTAGACAACTGTTTTGATTGATTTTCAAGAGTACATCCGTTTCAGAATATGAACACATGGAAATTTACCAAGAAATATACATTTAAATAGAAAACGTTCATGAAATATTGAAGAGAAACGTGGTAGTCTATATCGAACAATATTTTCGGGTTTCAAGTATTTGCAGAAATTGTGAAATATGCTGTTCTCACCTCAATTTTATTTAAAGAAAATTCTACAGAAAGTTTATGAATCTGATGTAAACACATTATGTTTCTCTATTTAATCAGCAAGTTTTATTGAATAACTCAATATTGCCATTTTTGAGAAATTAAACTCTGTTAAATTGACAAAAGTAATTTAACAAATCTCAATTGTTTTATATGAAAATCCATTCTACTCCTCTTTATGAAATATTAAGCAATTTTTTGTATTAGTCAGACTTAATTTGTGGAAGATATTGAAGATGAAAAGCGTTTCTAAACGTAACGGTAGCGGCTACAGGTTTCAATTTTCATAACTCAATAGTGTGTGGTTCTCAGTGTGGATATAGATAAAAAAGTAGCTTTATTCTAACTTACAATCATGAGATTTTTTTGATGTGGTTCCAGTTTTTCTTCGAAATATAGATCCAACTTTTCCAAAAGACATCTTTTGATGAACTTGAGTCCAGTCGATTCGTTTTTTTCTGGTTTTGTCAGAAAGAAACGTAAAGCATATGGAACTAAAATACGAAAGAAGTCGTTAGAAACATTTTACAAACTTCCATGGTTGATTTTCTTCGATGAAGTACATAGTGGATCAAAAGTCAGTTTATCGAAAAATCCAAATATCATCTTGACGACCGAGACGAATGAGATGAATATTTTATTAGCAATACAGACATATTCAAAGATTATGTTCATAAACATATGCCTAGGAAAATCATTTTTTTTGTATTATGACTATGGATCACAACAGAGAAATGTTATTATAGCACATAAAGAAAAAATACAATATGCTTTATAGGTGATATCTCTCGACATTCTTTCATGGATTTAAACCTCGAATGCTTCTCTATCATTAATGTAAGAATCAACTCATTTGCTCGAGTTATAAAGAACATATTCAATTTTTTTCGTTGAACTAATATGTTTCTCATTCTCTAGACTGCATCTTTCCTCTTTGTGAAATGGTAGAATTTCTTTGTTGTGATCTATAGTTGTACTGAGAAAAAAGTGTTTCTTAGGGGTTTTTGTACAGATATAAATTTCGCTCACGTTTCTATAATTGGTAAAAAATCAGCTTCTTTGACCTAGTCATTATGTACTTAGATATTTAATTTTTTCGGTAAAATCACTTTTAGTCTACCCTGTACTTTCTCGTTGATATTCAAGCATATTACTTACTTGAATAAGCTAATGCTAATGTTGGATAATTTTTTGCTGAGATAGCAGTCGTCGCACCGAAAAATGGTTTAAGTACAGTTTGGAGGTCTTTTATTGTACCCCAGTCATCATTAGTAAATTCAAATTTCTTGTTGCCAAGTTTTAGCTGTTGAACGGAACTAATGCTTGGTACCTTGAACGGCCTGCTGTTGATGTCGTCTATAATCGCTTGATGTGTAATAAACCGATCCACCATGATAAAGGTTGAATTCCAACGAAGTTCGATATCTGTTACAAGTGCAGCTGTAATTGGTGGATCATGGATTTTTTCTCGCTGTTGTACATAATCGGTAACAGCACGTGTAGAATTAATATTGTTAATAAAATCACGCATTCGATCAATTAATTGTCGAATTGAAGCACGAATATCTTGAAGATCAATTGATTGATAATCATCATTTTCTTCATTGTCATCGGGATTATCATTTTCATCGGCATAACTAACATTATCTTCATCATCGTCATCAACAGCATTGTTAAATTCTTCATCACTATCAGCTGCATTGCCATATGTTAAATTATCTTCATCATCTTCCAATTCTTCAGGTATATCAAGATGATCAAAATCTGATGATGTATCATTATTCTCTGAATTATGATCGATTACATCAATTGTTGTACGTGATGGTTGCTTTCTGAAACAAAAATGAAAAATTGTTTTTAATTAAACACTAATAAGGTAATAACACGAGAGATGATCGACTACATCGATCCAGTAATAATCTCATAAATTGTATTGGTGCTCACTTCTTATGTGTAGAATCAATGCATTTTAATTTCGATTCGATCTCGATAGCCCACTCATCAAATAACAAAAGTCATAGTCTTTCTACGGTCGATACGTTCTTGATCCCAATATCGTTATAGATTTTATTCCAAAGATTTTGAAATGAATATTTATTTTGTTGATGATCCTCGTTTGACTAGCTGTTTATCTGTTATTACGATTTTATTACCGTCAAATTGGATGTAATTTCGGTTCAATTTCTAGAAATTTATTTTTGTTCTGTCTTCAAGCAACACTACATGTATAACTGTGATGTAGTCGTCCTAATGATTTGTATCAACTCTGTTGGTACAATGGGTGACAAGACAAGAACAGTACTATTTAGGTTCCTCTATTTCTATGATTGTTCTCGCTTTGATTTTGGTTCATTAAATAGTGAATGTACTAATCGTGAAATAGATACCCGTAAGCTACCTTCAAGGTAGTTTGTTCATTGCATAACAAATTCATATAAAAAATGAATTATTTTATGGTATACGTAGGGTTAAACTTAAAACCCATAGACTGTTATATATATATAATCTCGTCTGAGATTTGCATTCCGCTTCGAGTCTCCTAGAAATTAATTTTCTGTCTTTCATATTTATATCACAGATGTAAATAGAACTAGTGCCGGTTAGATTAGATCAGATTGAGCGGAATTGGACGGTTAACTAATAGGAATTTAATCTCTAGATAGTTCCAGATAATACAGTCAGCTGCAGATAAAAGCTCCTTTCGTATACTTGGCGAGAATCATTAAATATTTAGTAGACAGTCGAATATGTTTTCATAAAAAAAGAAAAGTTAACTAGAAAGATCAGCCATCGATCTAACAGCTACCAGTGAGTCTGAAACTCTTACTGCTATTGAACTACATCATCCGACGACCATTATCAACGATCCTGTCTCAGTTGAAAGCGATGATACAGACCATATTGCCAAAATCAGCAATGAAGAGTATATCTTTTCAACGTTAGAAGATTTTTTTCTTCATTGCTGTATAGAATAAGACTAACGAATACTATACGTTATGCTCAACGAGACGCTGTAGTTCAATCATCTTTTATGCATCAAAGTCTCCTGAAAATCACATCTCAATTATTTAAGGGACAGGAATATTTATCACATGAGAACTGAACTGGCTCAAAAAGCTATATCAGTCTATTCCAAAGACACTCACTCTTGATTAAGCAATATATCTTATCCTAAACTAGTCAAAAGTTACGAGCTGCATTTCACTGTTATGAGGAGATGATTATATCTATGTTTGTCCACATATGTTGTATGTGAAGTGCTCTGAACTATATTTTAAAAGAAAGAATTTTACCTTTTCTTCTTTGTTTTCTCCCATAATCCTAAACCATTTTTGACCACCAGATTGATGTTGTGAGCGGTGCAAGAGAATCGTTCACCAGGCTTGATTTCATTAATGGCCTTCTTAATATCACTACCATTATCACCAACTATACCACAGACTTTGTCTTGAATATTTAAACGTTGTAATTCATAAAGAATGTACTTTTTGATATTTTCTGATTCGTGAGAACCAGTAAATCGACGAAATCCCAATACCACCGGAATCGATTCAAATTTTTTATTAAATGCATGACCAGTTAAGCAAATAAAAGATTTCTTCTTTTTGGTCCATATGTCAACGGTGATTGCAATAGCAGGAATTGAAGCAAGTACTTCTCCAAGTTGTTGACGATATTCGTGATACAAAATACCTAGACGATGACGTACAGTTTTTCGACCAGGACCACGACTAAAACAATACCAATTAATATTATATCTTATCCAATTTCATGTTTCTAACACAAAGTATAAAATACATCTTATTTTCATAATCTTATCAGTACAAGTCACGATTTCGAAACCGTGATTGATGGAGTAAAATACTATTTTAAATTTGTTAGCAATTTGTGTGAAGTTTCGACAATACCTGCATTGTTGAAAACGATATACAGACTGTACCTTATCACAGAACATAGCATTATACTATGTAGAGCAACAGTAAAAGCTTAATATATCGTTGACAAAGTCCGATGTATAGACTAATATTGGCGATAGAATTAAAGTTTCTTGACGGAATGTTGCGCAAATTATGCTACAGTGGTATTCTAAGTCAAGTTACATGTTCTACATCTCAACGTGCTTCGTTCTGCAAAAAGCATATTCGTATGACAAAGTACTGACATTAACCTAATATAATCTGGATATCACTTTTGCTTAACAACGGTATTGCTTTGTCTAGCTGACAATCAGATTATTTTAATAAACATTGCAGTATCTAACAATTGTCACGAAAGTAAGCTGTATAGAACCAAATAATGTATTAGTTATTGAGAAACTGTAGTTGATCAACTTCTTTCATCTTAGTGAAACTTATTTCTATTTATGTCATTATCAGAGACTGAATAGTGCTGGATGAGTGCGTACTCTAATCTATGTTCTATTGAATATTATCTGCTACTATGATGTTCATTTTAAATAAACACTTGAAGCTGGTATCCTATTGAGAGTCTGTGAAAAAAGAGGCGGAGTAGGATGTCAGACTTGAACAAATTGTAGATTATCCGTGAAATCACGACCTTTAGAATCGAAAGTTTATGATACACGATGTTTTGAAAAGATGTCTTCTATGTAGGAAAGTATTGCCAATGATCCTTCAAATTGAGACACTTCCAGATATCTTCTCATGCTACTATTCTTCCCTTGATAGCAGATACTATATTAGAATCTAATTGTATAGCGTAATGGATCATCTGTGCTATTGTGCTTAAAACATTTCAATTTGTTTTCATATGATATCGATGAATGTTATAGACTACGTTTCTAAATTAGAATATGAAATAATTGTGGTCTGATAAATATGCAATTTTTTCAAGCAATATCTGGTGAAGATACTTTTCATAAGAATAAATGAGGCAATGACAATTTGGTGAAGTCATGATTACCGTTCCCTTTTTAGCTATGAGATTGGTGAAGGTGTGTCAATAAATCAAGTAAGTTTTGCGTAGCAAAACAAATGAGAAAATTCTTTTTTCAGATGCAGAGAACAGGATTGTTGACGAATGTCGAACACAAAACTTTGCGAACAATTGAGTTCATCTTTGAGTAGTTCTTATCCATTTATCAAATAGACATCTACATATCGACACTTTCATTTAGTCATAATGATTCTATTTCATTCATATACAACGCAGCATACTTAGTTATGACGAAGTTTACCGAAGAACTACACTAAGAATGATAAATAAAACACTTGCTCAATAGTATCTTAAAATAAATATAATCTTCGCTAACGACTCAAACTAGACTCTTCGCTAACGTACGCCTGGCTATCCAAAAAAACAGCTGAAAATAAAATAACTAATACAATTTTTTCGTAACTTGTTTAAATCAGCTAATACGTTATTGATCGGTGACACGTTTTGTATCACTTACAAACCAGACTATGATATACAATAAAAATATATATTTGAAACTAATCATCATTTAGTATTTAAAAAGTTTCTGTGGTAGAATGTGTTGTAAACCACTTATATAAAATATTCATGCACGTCAAATAATCAAATGAAAAGAAACAGAACATTTATGTTCAATAAGAGATCAATACAAATAAATATTCAACATAAACTAAACCACATACTATCCAGGACAAATAACATTGAGAAATTTTGACATTCCCAACCGACGGAAATCGCCGAACGAACGACCATCAGTAATAATACAATCAATTGCAGCTTCGTGGAGTTCTCGTTTCTTTTCTGGTTTGATTTGCTTTGGATTTGTTGCAGATTGATTACGTTGTGATTCAAACAACATCTCTGACATATTATGAGCTCGACCTAGATGACTGCGCAGGTTGCCATCGCTGTTGCTTGAAGTTTTGATTAACTGAAAAAGATTAATTAAAATGTGATCAAAATGAAGTAATGAATTTATGAAAATCTCTTTACGGCATTTTACGCTAAACAAATCCCGTAAAGTTTATCTATCTGATAGAAATTTCCGAGATGAAGACTAGTTAATCAGGCTATTCATCGACCGTGTAGTAATTAACTGCTCTGATACGTTATCTTAAAACATTCAATAGAATCGCTAATTAATCGAGAAGCAAAAGTTGATGTCAGAAAAGAAGCTAGCCTGCATTAGTCAGGAATAATATCGGTACTTGTCTAATATGTTAGATCAATAGATAGGAAAATCGCATATCTAGTAGATCTGATCGCTCGATAACCCATCCTTATTTCGTCTCTGATTTACACTTTTAAAAACTATTAACAGTTTTCTTACAACTACAGAATGAAATTTTATATTTCGAATTATAGGATATGTTTGTTATTTTCTTTAATGATAACGGAAGTAGATGGGTTGAGCGAGCTAGAGATAAGAACATGGGTAAATAGACCAGTTTTATATTTCACTTTACGAAGATTTTGAATTGTTGTCAAATGTATGTCACTCATTATCACTATGTTATACATCTGAAGCTTTATACGACTGAGATATCGAGACAATTTGGCTAGTTGCTGATGATGAAAGACCGATTCTATTCAATAAGTATGTAGAGCATTGTTCTTTCTTCCCTTGTTAAGAAAGAACAATGACCATTTCTCTTCAAAATTTTCAAAGTTGAATTTTATTCGAAATGTTGTAGATTATAGTACTCTAGAGACCGTAACTCTCTACCAACGAATATCCAAACGAAATCATTTGTAAATTATTAGCATTTGAAGTTGTAATTACTTTTGTATGAATAGACAGCTGATATCGTCTGTGTTAATTCAACTAATGACAAGATATAAATATTGCACTGTCCGTAGTACGACATATCGTCTTAATGAATCGGTTCATACACTTTTCAAAATTATCCAATCGTATACACGCTACTCTACTGTCATCTATATTAATTTTTTTTTATTCCTATGGTCCGTAAAATGGTTGAAGATTTTCTAAAATTAAATCCAATTTTTACTTTTACAAGTCTTGAAATATTTTCATCATATATAGAATGGTCACAGATAGTTATCGAAATCAGTAACTATCAGATTGAAACATAAGTTCTGTACGTTTTCTTGGTTTTTTAGGCAAATTTGAGGCTTTATATCTCGGGATTGGAAACAGTTAGAGGTCTGAAATTTTTAATATAGATAGTACTCATAAAGATCTATCTATATTAAAAATTTCAGGCTTCTAACTCTTTCCAAACCCGAAATATAAAGCCTCAAATTTGCCTGAAAAACAAAAAAACTGCAGAACTTATGTTTCAATCTGATAAGTTAGATTTAGCGTTTTTATCTGTCGGTCGTTTCCAAAGAATTTCCTTGGATCACAACTTCCTCTAAGTAATCAAAACTTTCATTACGTTTACGACATGAAGATGGTTTTTCTTCCATCAACTCTTCGGTCAGTCTGTTTTATTTGTATTTTAGACTGCTTTTATCTATTGTCTGTTTGCGAATCCTTGAAGGAAATAACTAAAGTGGTGTGTTAAAATTTCATAAGTATTATTTTTTATATTTACATTGTGTATTTTTCCAAATTTTATAGGAAAAATGCTGAAAAGTATCTTAAATTAGCTCAATAAATTACGAGTGCTAGTAGCATTGCAGAAATTCATAGTAGAATATATTCACTATAAATTTTTCATTCTGCATCTATGGGTACAAGAGAAAAAGGATGAAATTGTGTCATGTTTTCAGAAATCTTGTTTTCTTACTGAAATGTGTATCTACAGTGCAAAAGAAGAACGTGTGATCTATGAAAATCATCAATAAAAAATAAGACGTGCAATATTTTCAAAGGTTGAATTTAATCTGTATTTGCACGAAATGTTGTTGTATATAACTGTTTAAATAATCCGAAGTTCATCACATTCCTTTGATTTCTATTCTTTCGTACAGTCATTGTCCATAATATAATGTTTGGGCCTTACTAATTGATTATTATATAGCCATACATCAGTTAATGATTTGTTCCCTTCGTATATAAATACTTGGGTCAAAAAAAGTAAACTCGCAATACAAAGTTTATAATTTTTCAGTTTTTATTGAATTTGAGCTTATAATTGTGTAATTGTGTTTCTCGAGCGTTATCGACTGGGCGAGCGTGATGAAGAGCACTCAACTCTTTGGTCCAAAATAATGGCAAGAAAAGTTGAGACTTAGAATTTCGCGTAAAATGAAAACTCTAAATTCTAAATTTTGAGCTCACTATTTTTCGCCAAATACGGGATATCTGACTGCCAGATCAATTATACAATTTGAGCTATGATGAAATTGGTTCGTGTTGACTAATCTTGCATTGCCAAAGTGAATTTCATATGCCCTCGTGGACCATCATGCGTGGGGTGCGTCTTTTAAATAAACAATCATTTTTCGTGGTATGACATGATATCGTTGTACAACCGCGGTTTTAAAGATAGAATACACTGCAGATACATATGCGATCGTAAACACTCATGTACGGAGATATGCGGCTACTTACATGAGATGATATTACGATTGCATATTTTTCTGTCATATATGGTGAAAGACAATGATTTATGGGAAGGAAATCGCCCATCTGTTATGTCCATGAATGAAAGTCGTACACAGTCTCCGTTTCATTCCAGTTTTTTTTCTATATGATTGTATCATTTTTAACAGTATTAAAATACCAAGAAACTGTATTGGCACTAGTTTTCATGAAGTATTCAATATTATATAATTAAAGTTATGCTAATAATGAAATCACTCACGCTGAATGCTTAATATGACCTCTTGTCCGCTAAACATCATGATCACTTCAATTTCGATGAGTTTCAATTTCATGTAGTATGCTTCTTCTTAGTGTGCATATTGTTCTCCTTTCTTCATGTTCATCTCTGTTCTTCTCTTATATTCGCTTGAACTGCATCATGAACTATGAAATAGAGAGAACTGAAGTAATGATATAGTCTAGCGAGCATTGTGTACCAAGGATGGCGGTAAAGATAATTGTCCAGTTTCTAATTGTTGATCAACAATAAAAGATTACACTATAGTAGTAACAAAAGGCTACTTCATCCTGATTTTTCCTGACAAAGATGATATTTGAAAATCCCTATGAGAAATCAAGAATATCTTGTAAGATGAGATTGGATCAATACAGATATGATTTCAATTCGTAGTTCATAATGACATCCTCATCTATAGCATGAAAATAGTTATTGTGTGAATGTTGATTTTTCTATGAAAAAATGCGAAATTAAACGATATATGATTGTTTTNCATATTATGGGCTCGACCTAGATGACTGCGTAGGTTGCCATCGCTGTTGCTTGAAGTTTTGATTAACTGAAAAAGATTAATTAAAATGTGATCAAAATGAAGTAATGAATTTATGAAAATCTCTTTACGGCATTTTACGCTAAACAAATCCCGTAAAGTTTATCTATCTGATAGAAATTTCCGAGATGAAGACTAGTTAATCAGACTATTCATCCACCGTGTAGTAATTAACTGCTCTGATACCTTATGGTAAAATATTCAATAAGATCGCTAATTAATCGAGATGCTTAAGTTGATGTCGGAAAAGAATCTAGCCTGCATTAGTCATGAGTAATATTGGTACTTGCCTAATATGTTAGATCAATAGATAGGAAAATCGCATATCTAATAGATCTGATCGCTCGATAACCGATCCTTATTTCGTCTCTGATTTACACTTTTCAAAACTATGAACAATTTTCTGACAAATACATAATGAAATTTTATGTTTCGAATTATAGGATATGCTTGTTACTTTCTTTAATGATAACGGAAGTAGATGGATTGAGTGAACTAGAGATAAGAACATGGTAAATAGACCAGTTTTATATTTAACTTGACGAAGATTTTGAATTGTGGTCAAATGTATGCCACTAATCATCACTATGTTATACATCTAGAGCTTTATACGACTGCGATATTTAGACAATTTGGCTAGTTACTGATGATGAAAGATCGATTCTATTCAATAAGTATGTAGAGCATTGTTCTTTCTTCCCTTGTTAAGAAAGAACAATGATCATTTCTCTTCAAAATTTTCAAAGTTGAATTTTATTGTGAATGTTATAGATTAGTCTTTTGAACTCTAGAGAACCCAATTCTCTAACAGGGAATATCCAAACAAAGTCATTAGTAAATTACTAGTATTCAAAGTTGTAAGTACTTTTGTATGAATGGACAGCTGATATCGTTTGTGTTAATTCAACTAATGACAATATATAAAGATTGTACTGTTCGCAGTACGACACATCATCTTAATGAATCGGTTCACGTCATAGAAAAATGTTGTTTAGTTCATCAGAAACGTTCAATTAGCCATGAAAATAATCCATCTCTATTCTATAATAATCTAGTGTTGCGTTCTGCTTTTTCACTTTTTTAAGTCTTCAAAATTGTGAAATAACTGTGGATTCGTATCGATCAAAATATGTAGGTTCAGTTCAAACTTTTTCCATAACGAAAACATGAACGTGATATAATCTTCCAATATTTAAAGAGAACTATGACATAATGTAAAATTAGTCTGAAATGAAATCAACTTTAGATTTCGATTTGAAATTCAGTTCATACATTTTTCAAAATTATCCAATCGTATTCACGCTACTCTACTGACGTCTATATTAATTTTTTTTTCATTCCTATGGTCCGTAAAATGGTTGAAGATTTTCTACAATTAAATCCAATTTTTACTTTTACAAGTCTTGAAATATTTTCATCATATATTGAATGGTCACAGATAGTTATCGAAATCAATAAGTATCAGATTGAAACATAAGTTCTGCACGCTTTTTTGTTTTTTAGGCAAATTTGAGG